AAAAAGAAAGTGAAAAATTAAAAAATAAAAATAAAAAAAGATAAAAAATCGGTAGAGGACAGGGCAGGGCACCCAGGTTCTGTCTGAGCACCCAGACTGTGATGGAGTTCCTGTAGGCCCAGAAGGTGGGTGGGAGTAGGGATGGCCACACCTCTGTTCACCAAGCAGGTGTAGGGTACAAGAATAACAAGAAAAATGTTGTACCTTTTCAGTCTTGCAGGCCCCGAGTATCCTTGGGGTTGCTGGAAAGCAGAACGTGTTCTTAAGCCCCAGGAATCTGTGAGAGCACTGTCTCCTTAAATATGCAAAATAGTCAAGCTGCTTTTTAAACCTTCAAAATGGTGGTGTCCTCCGGACTGGGAAAAGTCCACCACTCAACCCACCTTTCTCTTCACCTTCTCCGTTTGTTCCCCAGCCACCATGCACAGTCTTCCATGCAGTCCCTGGCTAGCAGCATGATTTTTAGGTTAATTCTTAGGTCCTGCCAGCACTCAGGAATCTCCAAGCTGTCTGTGCCATCAGGATCGCTGCCAGACTGCAGCTCTGTATGTCTCCTTTTTTTGGTATTTTCACGCAAATTCTTCTGCTAGTTGGGGTTTTGTCCACTTCTATATTCTTCCCTTCAAGTCTCAGGGGTCCAAGATTATTTTCTGTGTCTGTGTTAATTGGTTTCCCTTTTCTTTGTTGAAGAGGGTCTGTGCAGCCTTTGTGCCTAGTCTGCCATCTTGCCAGACCCAATTGAATCGCATAACGCATTCTTATCAGAGAAAAGGCCAAGGGCAATTACAGCCGAAGCCCAAGTCAGATGGCAATTATTTATTCTGGTCATGACCTACTAAACTGCTTCCAACTCAGTCATGCCCCCAAGGAAAAGTATAAGATAAGACAAAATACATGAACTACCTCTTTCCTGACAATGGTCATTCAACAACACAGTATCAGAGTGAGAGTCCCTATAAAATGAAAACATACACATATGTGAACAGACGTGCACACAAACACACTCACACATACATGCACACATATATGCAAACACAGACAGACCTCACTGTAAGACAACCTTTCACTCAGAAGTCATATTACAGACTACAGGGTGTGAAGCTCAAGATGACCATGAGGGTTTCACTGAGCCAAGATATGAACAGTCAGAGGGGTGGAGATGGCAGGGATTTTCAAAGCACGACACCAGAGGGAGGGGTGCTGTTCAGAGAAGGTGCTCCATCCTCTGCACAGGGTTCCCCAGAGGCTTTGGCTAAAGACAAAGTGACAACATGGAGAGCAGACTCTAATGTGACGAACAGGACTCTCTAATGTGAGAGACAACAAAGAAACCTGCTGCCTGGAGCTCTCTCCTCACAGGCCCCTCAGAGGGTGAACACCTGATCCTCCTCACGTCTCAGTTTAAACTTCATTTACTGTTAGCCATCTTCTCACCCCTACCCATTCCTAGAGCAGACAAGAGCCCGGAGGTATCCTCCTGCAAGGGTTAAGGATGCAAGTTGAAATCTTGCCTTCCCAGTGCAAACAGGGGCTGTCTCTGGGCTGAGCTCAAGGGCTGTGGAGCAGGAACTGGATCCTCTTGATCTTTGCCTATGTCCCCAGACCCGAGCACAGATGCAGCCTGTGGTTGGCACACCATATATATTATTTTGTGAACAATGGCTTCCTCCTCTCTAATGATAGACACTTGGGGAAATATTCTTCCAAGGCTGAGTGTGAGTCAGATGTTCAGGGACATGGCAGGTGACTTCCTCTACAGAGTTGGGGGAGAGGAGGAAGCAAATGGTGCTGGGAAAAGTCATCAGAAGGGCATCTGGAGCAAAGTGAGTTACATGTTTTGGGAGAGAAATGACTAGCAAAGCCCTGGTGATATGAACGTTAAGGATTTGGCTGCTAACCAAAAGACTGTTGGTTCCAATGCGTCCAGTGACTCCATGGGAGAAAAGAGTCCATGATCAGTCCTGTAAGGATTATGACATAGGAAACCCCGATGAGGGAGTCCTACCACATAACACTGGGTCCCTATGAGCTGATAATTGACCAAAGACACCTAACACCAGCTTGGAACTTGGGAATCCTTAGTCTGACTGCATCCTGGGTAAGCACACACCATTGGGCCAGCAGAGGGCAGCCCACACTCAGACACCAAATAGGACTAAAGTCTAGATCTGATGTTCCCACCTGTGATGGTTAGGTTTGTATGTCAACTTGGCTGGGCCTAGTTGAGTGGCTGGGCAGCTGGATGTAATATTCCCCATGATGAGACTGGTAATCAACTCCAAGGTAGAATCTACTGGGAGCAGCTAGTAGCTCCCTTTGGATGCATAGTCTGCTTCTTGCATATAAGGAGCAGCGTTGAGAATGGTCTGTAGCCTTTGGCATGCTTGGACCCTGCATGTAGCTGTGTAGGTGCTCAGCAGCCTGCTATGCTCTGCCGACCTTGGGACTTACAGTGGACTTAAGTTAATGGCCTGCCATGTGTATTGGTAACATCGGGACTGTGCCTTTTTACTTGTCAACCTTGGGGCTTCTCAGCCTCAGCAGCCAACAGCTGTCTGAGTGAAGAAATGCCTGTAGCTCCAGTGGGCCAGCAGCAGGAGGCAGAGCTGGACCCCAAGGTTGAGGGGCTTTCACTCAGCCCCTAGAGCTTGGCACTTTGAACTTGGACTCAAAGCCTCCAAATTGTAAGAATAATATCCTGTTTGTTGAGGCCATCCCATTTGTGGTGTATTCTTATCAGAGTGGCACTAGGGAACCAGAACACCACCCTCTGACTCAGAGCTTTGCCTGGGGGGGTGCTGATTTGCATGAAGAGTCCCACCCTGCCTGGGACTGTGTGAAGGAATAAGAGCCTTGGGGGTCCAGCCTCAGAGAAGGCATCTGAAGAATCTAGCATTGGGGTGACTCCAACATGGCCACCTGGACCCCTCTTCTCCTCACCCTCCTCACTCTCATCACAGGTTAGGTTTGGTCTGTCATCCATATCCTTAATAGGGCCTCCATCTTTCAGCTCCCCAGCAGAGTCCCTTCTCTCCTGAAACTCCTTCTCCTGCCTCTCACCAAGAGCCCTAATGTGATCTTGTGTTTCCAGGGTCCCTGTCCCAGCCTGTGCTCACACAGCCACCCTCTGCATCGGCCTCCCTGGGACAAACAGCCAAGCTCACCTGCACCCTGAGCAGCGGCTATAGTAACTATGCTGTTGACTGGTACCAGCAGGGCCCAGGGAAGGGACCCCGGTTTGTGATGCGAGTGGGCAGTAGTGGTATGGTTGGATCCAAGGGGGATGGCATCCCCGATCGCTTCTCAGGCTCTGGCTCTGGCCTGGACCGGTACCTGACCATCCAGAACATCCAGGCAGTGGACGAGGCTGACTACATCTGTGGAGCAAACCATGGTAGTGGGAGCAACTTCGTGTAACCACAGTGACACAGGCAGAGGGGAAGCGAGACAAAAACCTCCCAGCTGAACTGCCAACCGATTGCCTTGACTCACAGTTGAGTGGGGGCTTCTTCCTCACCCTGTGAGTTCCCATCTTCCCAGATGTTTTGGTAACTCAGTACCATCTCCAAGAACAGACTGGCTTTGCACACCCTCCCCAGCACCTGATCCTAGATCCACACCAAATGTCCCAGTATTTGCCACTTGTTTTCTAGGCACATAAGGAGCTCTGCTGGCATAGTGCATAAGGCATTTGACTGCTAACCAGAAGACTTGTAGTTCAAACCCTCCAAACACTCCTTGGAAGGAAGATTGGGCAATCTACTTCTGTAGTGATAAGGCCTCAGAAACACACAGAGGAGTCGCTGTGAGTTGGATCTGACTCCACGGCAGTGAGATTTTGAGGTTCATTTATTTATTTATTCATTCTTGAAACTTATGAGTTGGGACATGGAGACATGTGGGTGTAACCACTGACCTGGTGAATTTTGAACCCTCAGGTTGGAGAGCTGTTTGCTGGTCCCGTCAGAGAACTATGAGCAACAGCAGTTCCGCAGCCATCATCATCCTTGTTCAATGTTTGTGAGTTTCCCAGTTGAAGAAGAACACTGAATCTTTCCTGGAGATACACAACGTTGACCTTAACTCTCTGTGGTCACATGTGCATGAGTGAGCTCCACCTGGCATGTCCCTCCTTCCCCTGATCACTCCCATGTGCACAGGCCTCTCAGAGTGTGCATGCCTCCCTGTGTTTGAAAACACAAACAAGGACATGTCTGCATGCAGGAGGATGGGAGTGCTTGGGCTCACTCTGCCCAGAGGCCTTGGGGAGGCCCTTCCCCCCATCACTTCCACTGTATAAAGTGGTCTGCCTGCAGGACAGAAAGCTCTGGTAGCATTCCTCTCTCTGGAGAAGGTATGTGTGAATGTTCAGTCCAGGAGAGGACCCCTGGCTTTGAATGTCTCTCATTGCCACAGACCTGGGCATTTCTACCAGGAAAGAACGAGGATAGAACATATAAAGGAAGTCCTTTCTGATCTTGTCTGGGGCCCAGTCAGGCCCCACAGAGCTAGATTGGTGTCTGACTCACTACTTAGACGAGGCCCAAGTGTTGTAAAAAAACAACAATATTCGTGTATGTGGTGACACCCAGCAGTGTGTTTCAAAACACCCCTCCCATCATCCATCCTTGTTCATACACAAGGGAGTGAGGTTTATAGGACCCAGCGAGTCCTCAGAAAAGTCATCTGGAGAGTCACCTAATCACTGAGGTTGGAGCCGGGCAGCCTGTTTCAGTGCAAGTGTTGGATTCTCTGATTGAGCGTCTTGCCCAAAATCTCCAAACCACTCAAGATAGAGGAAGGATTAAATGTCCCTTAATTAGTTTTTAAATTATATGACAGTGCAGAGGGTCCTTCAGGAGCTACTGAGTCACATTTGCCCAGATAATCAGGAACAAATAATCTTTAATTCAAACTCTACCAAATCTCCATTTGTCTCCATTTCTCCCGGATCTATGGCCCGATTCAAGGATTACCAATTTCCCTTACTAAGTTGGAAAGATGACAAGTCTATAAATAAACACAAAGGCCACTTCCCACCACTGCTGCTGAGGGGAGTGTAAGAAAGTGCAGGAGAGCAGAAGCAAAGCAGGGGAGCGCAAGGAATCCCAGCCTTGTCTTGTGCTCAGTATTCCTATTGTTAAGCTTCTTACTGAAGGAAATAAGCACACAACAGGCTAACTCTTGATATTTTTTCATCTCTTCATGGACTGTTTAGTTTAGAAAGTAAAGGTTCCCTCAACTCACAGGGGCCAGGTTCCACAGGAGGCAATGTGTGAGCCTGGTCTTCGAGGAAGGGTCCAGGGGGTTGGAGTGGGAGGATTGTAGGTTTCAAAGAGATGGGGACTCTGTGGACCAGGGTCAAAATAATTTTTTGCACCAAGGAGGCTTGTGGGTGTTTCCTACATATTACAAAGAGGGACAGGTGAGGTCAGAGGCTGGGGATGAAATGATGGCTAGGCCTGGAGAGACTTTGGATATGATACTGAAGGTTTTTATTCAATCTTGTCAGGAAGAAAATCTGTGGGAGATTTTTAAGTAGACAGATGTGTATATAATTTCAAATATTCTGACTATTGTTTAAAGAAAAGAACAGGCAAACTGTGGGCAAGACATTTTGAGGGGCTCAGTTTGGCCCAGGTGAGCAGTGATGGGGACAGACAGGTGAGGCAAGCAGTCTCAGGAATTGCTGTGGACAGAGCATGGAAGTCCAGGGCCCATGTCCTATGGATACGAGGGCCACACAGCACCAGGCTTGAGTACCAGGTTGGGTGGTGCTGCCAGTCAGCCATATTTCTTCACAAATAGAGATGTGTTTGCTGTGTCCTGCCCCCACCAGGGTGTGAGCACCATGAAAATATCTGTTTGCCATATGTTTTCTTCCTGTTTTCTCACCTCTGTGTCTACAGGACCTAGAATATTGCCTGATACGTAGGACAAACTCAACTCATGTTTGTTAGATGTATATATCAGTTCACCTAAATTGCAAATTCAGGGAAAGGAGCAGATCTGAAACAAACATAATGGTATTTTCTTTCTATATGGTTTGAGTTTAGGGTTCTAAGTTCATTAGAGAGGAGTTAGTAAGTAAGAATTATGACTTCAGGGGTTGGAGAGAATGAGAGAGACATGAACTTGAACTCTAGATGCTTTAATTCACTTTGTACATAAGGTAGTGGTTACAGAGGAAGGTGGTAAGTGAAATGGACTTGGATACCACAGGTCCAGGTGTGGAGAGTGGAGAAGGACAGAATGGGCCTCCAGGTACTGGGTAAAGGAACCATAGGGAACAGGTAGATGGCATAGTGGATTCTTAGGGCAGAAGGCAACCACCATGAGCAAATCAATTGCAGAATACTGGCTAGTGTTGCATGACCTTCTTCTAACACATCACTTAATTTGGAGCTTGTCAGGGAGTCATTTGTCAACATGATGACAAATGTTGCAATATGATCCTAAAACAGCATAAACCCATCAATCAATGAAATTCTAATATCTAATTTTTCAACCCAAAACTCTCCCCAAATGTTTGGTGGAAAAATACCTTGAAGAAAGAATGAAGGTCTTTATAAGTTCAGCATCCATAAAAGATATGCCCCAGATGACTGACATCAATAAATCATTTTCTGAAAGTTTATGTGAAAATCTGGACTTATATATTCTCATCACATATGCCATGTCATGAACCTCAGGTCTGCAAAATGTAGGATCCATTGCACTCACTCCACATTTTCAATCAGTATTAGGATTGATGAGCTAACCTTTTGGAAGATTAAAACACAAGTCACTTTACATGGGAGCAGTTGGAATGCAATGCACAACAGTGTTGGGACATTAAAATCATGAGTCTATATGAAAACATATGCCAGTGATGTGATAGGATATTTGAGATTTCTTTTAAAGTAATTCAGCAAGAGACTAGGGTGAGCAGCAGAGAAGGGTGGAAGATGAAACAAGAGGCTTCCTATGGATGTGTTGGAGTAAGAGTTAGAAGTGTCCATCAAACCATTCTGTATATTTTGTACGATTTCAAACATGTCCATAATACCATAATACCTAGCATTTAATGGGTATGTATTGCTATCAGTGATGATGGGTGTATTCCCTGTTTCTTTCAGATGCACAGATTTGTCAAAATGACTGCTTCCACCATGATGTCCTGTGAAAGCCCTTCCCTTTCCGACAGACAGAGGGGGAGCTGGCGTGAATGCCCTGGAAGGCATATGGTCCAAAGACAGAGAAAAAGTGAGGCTGAAGGAGTCAGAATAAGGGGAGGGATGATGGGGGAACTTTGGGCGAGGGTCAGGTCAGACCAGAAAGGACATACCAAGGGTGATAAAAAGGATATGGGAGTGTTGTCATCTGACCTCTTTTAATTTTGCAACAGGCAAGGGGAAGCCAAAATAACAGCAACAACCCAAGGC